TTTTGGAACCAGTTTTCAGCAACAGCGATTGCAATGGATGAAAGCATTGTTCTCATACTAAACGTGAAGCCATTTTAAACAGGAATCGACAGTGACGTGCTGTTAGCATTTATTACCAATTATAAGCCAATTTGCCAGTCCTGATTAACCTTACTTATACTCCCTTTGGTATAGCCATGAAACACAGTGCTTGAAGTGGACGATAAACAAATTGCTTTTCAAATCAAAGAAAGCAAGCTACCTCAGTTGCACTGCAGGACAGAAGCAGTGCTTGGCAAAATCCAGATGTACCTTGCGTTTGAAATTGCCTCCTCCCTCTCTGTCCCATGGTGATGCTTCTCCAATTTTCCATCGGCACAAATAATGAGAAACGCAGCAGGACTTAGCCTCCTCTACCATCTCCATTTCCTTTGCACCCAGAACCCAGAAAGGAGAGAAATCTGGGCTCATTCTGTACCCGCCTACCCCTGTACGCCTAATTCTGTACCCTTTCCTCAACAAGCATGGAGAGTCATGTATGCTGACAGCACTGACAACAGATTTTCCTGTTCTTTAAGTCACTGTCAGCAGAGCAGCCAGCTTAATGGTGAAAGAGAGAGCGGGGCTTTTTTTCCCTGGTATGTGCATACGTACAGCATTGTTTGAAGACATTCAGTGGCAGGACCATTTATGCAACCTCCACCCTCCCTGTGCACCCTCTTAGTGAAAGCCATACAGTACAATATATCTGGAAGAAGGCAGCCAACATGAATGCTTCTGCAATCAGTATTCTTTAACGTTTATGCCTAGAACGTTGATTCAGAGTGCCAATTATGTTTTTTTTTTTAAAAAGCACTAGTATCTAAACATGGGCACATTTTACACAGGTAGCTCAGCTGCACTTTCTCACAAAAGAGATGGTGTATTCTTCATATGATAATTATGGGGTGTAGAATATGCTTTTGGACACATTTCCATGAACAGAAAAAAGTCCAACATCCACCTGAGTCTGTCCATGCACTCTTTCTGGAGCAAAAAGATACTACAGATAAGTTGCTGAGTTAGCATCATCTTGATTTGCACTGTGTTATTAGCCTGCAAAAGAATAAAATAAGATGAATGAAATGAAATCCATCTCATTTTTCTGCTTCCCAGCTTCCACCTTTACTAGGCAGATGGTTTCTTCATCAGGAAGAGAAATACAGCGTTTTCTTCACCCTTACCATATCCTTCTCTCTGAGTTTCCATCAGGAACATCTCTCATTGCTCTTCTTTATAGCCCTGCCTCACCATCGCATGGAAGTAGGTGAAGAGACAATGGTGCAAACAAGCACCAGCCTTGCAGTTCAGAAGCTCTCTTTGCTGTTTATTCCCAGTGCTTCAGACGGAGGGGTACTGAAGATTATTTAGGGGATAATTTTCACTGCTTTCCTAACAAGTGACAAATGATACACCAAACCACAGATACCGTAAGATACCATGAGTTAGCATGAGATAGCAGAAGATTATTAGGCACCGATCTTTTTGGAACATCCTCAGTCCAATTTTTGCATCTTGATCTCCCCAGCTTGTCCAAGCCGTAGTGCTGTAAGGCAGGCTGGCTCCGTAACTTTGATCAAATTATACTGCTCTGCAAAAATCTCTCTAATCTCTACTCTAAAGAGTCCATAAACAGCGCTGAACTGTTCAACGTTCTTTAGTAACTTTTGGAGGTTGTGCAAATTCTGTATAAAATTATCTGACATTATCAGCTTTTAGTTTTAAAACGTAAAGGATAATACATACAAAGGGATGAATACTGCAGGCCAACAGCTGAAAATAGTCAACCATAAAGCAAGATCTGTGACTTAAAAAATTGCTGTGATATTATAAAATCTTTCAAACATTTTTGTTGATGAAAACAACCAGAAGTTTTTCCTTACTGAGACCAGCCACAAGCACCTGATCAGCCATTTTTCCATCAAGCTTCTTTATGCTTTCTTTGAAGCCAGACTTTATTTCATGGGATAGTCTGATCAAACAGTTCATACCTGTCCACCGTTACCGTGTCCATACCGTTACCACGACAAATAAATCAATAGGTGCATTTTTATTAGTCCAGTAGGAAGAGTCTCTGGGTCGAATATCTCATTTCAACAGCTTAGAGGAAAGGGAGCAATATGCAGCTAGGTTTAGTGACACGAGTAGAACTGCATCATGACACAAGGATGTTAATAGGTAAAACTACCAGATTTACCCAACTTCAAATCCTGCCTGCGTTTACCAGGATGATTATGACACGCTGCCAAATCAAAACCACAGAATGGATGATCAAAAGGAACTGGAAGGTAAAAACGTTTTAAACCAAACTCCAACTCCTCCCCAAAAACAAATTCACCTCTAGCTGCCCTCACATCTGGTGTATACAATAGTGGTAACGGTTTCCTCAGGCTCACTTCTATTAACTCTCACAAAGATGAGGTAAAAAGCAATCATCGCTTTATCTAGGACAGTATTGTATCTGTGACAGCAACCAATGCCAGAAATTTCAAAAGTTAAAAGTTAACAGTTCCGCCATTATGGGTTCATCCTAATGCCAGAAAGCAAAGCTTTCTTTAATTCCAAATTAATTTTAATTTAAAATTTCATATCCATTCCAAATGTGTTGGCATTAACTATCAGACTCCTGATATTTCTATTGCCCACATAAACGTAAAGTGCTTGTTAAACCTTACTATTTTTTTTCTCAACAGTTCTGCAGCAATGAGTTCCACACTGTAAAGTATGGGAAGTATGAAAAGTACATTTTATCAGTCTCGAATTTGCCAACTTTCCTATTCATAAAATGCTTTCTTGTTCTTCTGTTATGGACTCCATTAACTTCAAACCTACTTCTTCTAAACCATTCACCATTCACATACTTTTATCACTTACTCTCTTACTCATGTCCTCTCTGCTCAGACTCTTTTCATAAAAATTTCCCATCTCCTCCTTCAATCATTCTGTTGCTCCTTGTCTCCATTAGATGGCTAATTTTTATAGCCTAGCAATCATGCCTTATGTTATACTGCTTCTCTACTCAGCAGAAGAGAGTTCTGATCTGACTGACCAGGGGACTAAAGGAAAAAAGAAAAGATACACTACAGAAGATTCCAAGGCAAGTAATTTTTATCTTATGATGACTGACACTTCAATTTATGATTCATTTCAATGAAATTGTGGCTACATGTTTTTAAAAGCCAATCTCTATTTGCCACATTCATAAAACTCCTCAAAAATGCAGTTATTCAATACAATTGACAACTTAATTCAGATACTGTTCTTGTATCTGACGCTAAAAATATATTAAAGCAGTTAAGAGGAGAAAAACATTACAAAGTGCTTTAAAGGGACTTCACTTTGTCTTAATAAAATAGCACACACAGGCAATAAAAGCCCCTTCTATTCTAAAGCCATACTCTTCTCACTGTACTCCCACATGAACACTCAATGCAGATTATTTTTGTGAATAAGGTGAGAAGGATTTAATCTTCTGTCATATGATGACGTTCACATGATTCATAGCAAATGCACACTATGGAGTCATATATACACACAGCAAAATCAAGAACTGCTTAATGTCAGATCCAGTCTTAATGCACATCTTAAACTCCCTCGAAGTACATAAAGGACCCCATCCTGCAATCATTTGTCAGGGTCCTGCCCTACACTCTTTTCAAAGTGAAATTGTAATTTTCTGCTAATAATGTATCGTTGGAAACAAAACCACAGGATCCTCCGTATTTTTCCTCCAAATTTGGAGGTTTGGTACTAAAGAGAAACGCAAAGACAGAAAAAAACAAACAAGACAGAGGTCTGTAAGTTATCTTTTATAATTACTTTAGAAAGAACCATGTTATTCATAGAGAAAAATATCTGGGCAGAGAGAAAAGACTTATCGAAACGTTTTCAATTTTACATTTGTATTAGAAAGTTGTTCACATCCATTTTATTGCAAGAAAGCTGTCTTGAATTATTCAAAATGAATTAAAATTCAGTGTATTAAACAACACTGGTCATAAGTGCAATACTCTTTCAGGAAAAGCTTGAAAACAGTTTAGTTAACAAACAACCTAAACCAACAACTCGCACACTGCAATGACTTGAAGGGTTTTTGTTTCTAAAATAACAAATCATCTTTTTGGAATTCATCACTGTAACTCTGCTGAAGATGTGACACCTTCCTAAAATGAGGCACCGAAAACCATATTCAGGCACCAAAGTCAGCAGCACAATTATTTCAGAGATACTAAGGCTCTGATGAAGTCCATAGAAGTTGAGAGGTGATCATGTGCTTTGAAAAATTTGGCGACTTAAAGCGAAGATTGTTAGGAATTTAAAATAAAAAAAAAAAAGCCTCCAAATCATTGTTTCATTAGGAATTTCAACAACACGTGACACAATAACACAAACTGTCACATTTATAAAAAAAACTATTTAACTTATATTATTTGATCAGTATTGATCAACAGATAAAGTATATAAGTAGACAGATTATTAAACTTTAAATCAAATTGACATTAGAATTTTTAAACATTTTACTACATAAGAAAATCTCAAAAAAGTGTAGTCCTCTTGTTACGCAGTCATTCTGTTTTTAAACACGTTAATAACTGTCAGCTCTACCTGTTGGGAATATCATCACTGAATCCCCACAAATCCACTTTATGTATATAAAGTCATAGACAAAACAACAACCAGTAACACTACTCCTCGTGTTTTATGTTTATGAGTTAGAAAATTCCAGCAGTGACTGCATTACTAATAGATGTCAGTACTAGAATATTGCAGTAATCATTTATATTCTCAAATAAAACCTGTAATTAGGTATTGCACAGTTATTTGTATCAGCTGAAAAAATATTTCTCAAAACATTATTTTGGGGTATATAATGGCACCAATCCTTAAAATAAACGTACAGTAGAAATTAATAGAGATATTTTACAGGTTTATTACAGTGCCACAATACTTCTCAAAAGTCTTTCCCTTTTTTTTTTTATTGCTATTTGTAAATAGCCTATTACTGCTTTAGAAAGCTGAAGTTGAAACCCTACCTTCAAGTTTATAGAAATGTTGCTGTTTATCCCAGCGGAATCAGAATTTTATCCTGGGATAGAGGAAACTTTTGTTATTACTGACATTTGCTACAACAAAATAATTTTCACACAGTCTTTCAACCTTCTGCAATGAAAACGGGTTTAAACCTAAGTATAATAGTACCAAGCACCCTCCAAATTCTTCCTTCTTAAAAATGCAGCAGTGTGCAATTTAACAGATAATACTTCTGGCACAGCATCAGATTGTTCTCTGAGACAGTCTGCCTCATGACAAAATGAATCACGTATTTCTAGCATTTACTTTTTTTTTTCTTTTTTACTCTTTCAGCAGTAAAATTCAGTAACAGAAACACTCTCATACTCTCATGTAGCAATTCCAAATACAAATCTAAAATATGCCCTTTTTGACTTGCCACACAATTTCAAGAAAGTAACATGGAAGTAATATCCTAGTATTTTACTTCAAATGCAAATAGCTGGATATTAACAATAATGGTATTTTTTCATTGGCAGCTGTATAGCAACGCTAGATCTTCAAGTTTAGAACAATCATTAATAAAAGCAAAGAAGGGGATCCACTAAATCAGAACAGTTATCTCTGGCATACTTAAGGTTACACTGAGGGTACTGGTATCTGCTTAGTTGAAGCACTGTCATAATCTCGTACCAAGTCATTGGTGGTGTGATAATGCATGGCAATATAGGATTTGGCAAATCCGAAAGTTGAGTTCACTGGCTGTAAGCTATTTGGGGTGCTCACTTCCTGGGAAGGGCTGCTGTTATAGATACTATAATACGGTTCGATTCGGGTGTTCATGGGCGTTGAGCTACTCTGTGCATAGTGCTGATGCCCGACAGAAGCCTTGGGACTCAACACACTTTCCTTGGAGTGACTAGGACCGCAGGCTTGGTCTACAAACTTTTTCTGAGGTTTTGGAGACAACATGTAAGCTGAATTGGTTTCATGGTGAGATGACTTATTCCTGTTGACTTCCAGGCTCCCTTTGCCCATGGCTCGAAGCCTTGTCTTCTGCTTGCAGCAGAAAAAGACAAGGGCTACATACTGCAGGCACCAGAGGACTCGCCTCCTAAGTCCAGCACTGTTGCGAGAATATATGAAAGGATTTAATCCAGATTTGAAAAATATGAGGGTAAATCCACACAGCTCGAATTGGTAGAGAACAAAGCCACCGCTACTGGACAGTATGTCCTGCACCAAAGCGATTCCCAAGGGGAGACAGCAAACTAAGATGGAAAGCACAATGATGACACATGTCACCACTGCCCTGGAGTCTTTGGCTGCAGAGAGATTTACCGCCGACACGAGCTGCAGCCTGCTGGCGGCAGGGGCTGGCAGCGGGCCGAGGTGCTTCCCGTAGCCGTGAGTCTGCACGTGCTGCAGTTTGTTGTAGTTCTGGTTCCTGTACAAGGCAGGCACGGCGCACTGCAGGCCGTCTGCAGCCCCCGCTGCGGGGGGCCCAGCGAAGGGCTGCGGGCGAGAGGCGTCCACCGTCACAACGGGCGGACACTTCCTCACCTGGGCGTTTCTTCGCAAAGCTTGAGCTATCATGACGTAGGAGATGAACACCACGGCCACGCAGCAGATGAAGTCGATCACGTAGAGGTAGAGGATGATCCTGCCCTCCCCGCTGACGAAGCTGGACATGGGAAGGCAGAGGCGGGACCTGCGGGTTTTCAGGGTGGCCAGGGTGGCCAGGGTGAAGCTGGTGGCCCACAAGAGCAGGGTGAGGAGGAGGGTGCAGGGGAAGGAGGCGGTGCGGTGGGGCTGCCTTCCCC